CTCGCCAGCACACGTGGTGTGTGAGAGGCCGCCCAGGTCGTCGAGTTTAGTGGGTGTCTCCACGTCTGCCTGCTGCCTAACGAATTTCATTAAGTCTTTTTAAGTTTTAGCCAAGTCATGTGAGATCAACCACGTATTTTTTATGGCGTACCAACTTGAATTGGCTATTCCAAGTTTATAAGAAGTCGATAGTCTTTTAGTGATCTCGGTTAGTTCCTAGTGATCCTTTGGGATATGGTGGTCCGGTTCCACCTGGGCTCAATAACAGGCAGGTAATTGTTTAAATCAGGTTCCCAAACTTTTTCTACTCGTGGCGCCCTTTTAGAACTGAAGTTTGCTCGTGGCGCCCTTAATAAAATGGCTGCATACGAATTGCGTCCCAAAATACGAAAATATAAATAAATCATTCAATTTTTTTTTTCTGTTAATTAAATGGTTATGCTCACCAGTTAATTGATGTAGAGAGGTCTTATCTGCAGTCGTTTAAATACTTGCAGTGCAATTTTTGTCTGTACGGGCCCATTTAATAACTTATTTTTCGTTTTATAACAAAGCAGTATTTAAAATTGTAAAAATTTATAATTTAATTTTTAAAAATTAGGTTTTGTTTTTTAAAATTTTCTTATAGATTTAGGTAACACAGATCTTGAAAACGAAATAATTGTAGATTAGTTAATCATTTTTAATTATAATTCGAAATATATTTTGAATTTTTCTCCTATCTTAAACTATTTTTTTACATTAACTATATAACTTTTTTGTACTAATTTAATAATTGTTATTATATTTTATTTACATAATAAATGTATTTATTTTGTTTATATCTTACTACAGTTTGTTTATACTAGTTTAAATTTGATGCGCACAAATAATAATAATTAATAATATCACCTTTCATACAAGATTGAAATAAGAGAATAAACATATAGATATTGTGTTGAACACACAAGAGTATAAAATTACAAACATTGCATAGGAATTATAAATTTTAATTTAATAAGTAAGATAAGTTTTTTTACCTACTCAAATTCTTTTTTATGGACGACGTGAATTGTATTTTTGTAATTTGATAAAATGTATTACACTGCTATACATTTTTTTTAGAAGTAATTCCGAATAAAATAATTTAAAGAAAAATTTATTTATACTTTATGCATTTTATTATATAAATTTAATACATTAAGTTGATTACACTAATTTGGCAGTGAAATACAACCATATAGATACTCATGCAAAATATTATAATTAAGTAATATATGGTACACAACGTACCTCTGTCAGTTATTTGAATATTTTGAATTAGAAAATTTCCTATATGTTTTGTAAATTTGCAATGATTCGTCACATAACTATTAAAATTCAATAGAATTTAATATAATTTTTAATAAAAGAGTAATTACTTAATCGTTATTATTGTTTATATATTATATCTTTTCAGTTATATACTATGATTAAAATGTATTATTTTTTTGTAGGCTATTATCGTACTGTATTTTAGTTGTTAAATACTATTTTTTTAATATCTCTTAAACTATTTATGGTAGGTATTTACAGGTTGCAAGGAAAAAATAATTTGATACTTAATATACATATCATACTAATAAATCATTATATTCTGGTTGAATATTGAGAAGTGAGAAGACATAATCAAAAATATCAAACACAAGTTGTTAGTAATATAACACAAATGGAGTTTTAAATCTTCACCTACAATAGTTTTAAATTACAACAAAATTATTAAAATTGTTATTTTTTGATTAAATAGTTAGTTTTGTCAAAATTTTAACTTCACAAATCTGTATAAGAAAAAAAATTAAAAATTATGAGACAAATATAATTAGATTTTTTGGATTTCAATGTGTACTACTTATTAGAAATATTATATTAAATTTTCAAGATTTAGTTTTAAAATAGAAAATTGACTAAATAACTTTTAACTACAAAATAATTTGCTAATCGTTGAAAACTAAATTTTGTGTAAATATTTTTGTCTTTTACTAATTTTTTTTTAGTCTTCTATTTATTAAGAGTAATTCTAAGAATTTTTATACTTTCAACTTTATGAAGTACTAATTGAACTTTCACTTTTCTATCAGGACAGATATTGATGTTGGAAATCGAATTAAATTTTCAACTATTAAAAAGAACACCAAAGAAGACAAAACACTATTGTAATATCAATAACATTCATTATTCCGAACAGAATCTAATGCTTACTAAATGTGTTTTTAATTTGTTTTAAAGTCGAACTAATAAATAATTATTTTAAATTCAGCTATGCAGTGATATAGATTTAAAACTAATTAATGATTATTATTAACTAAACATTGTTGAATTCAATAATTTTTTTTGAATTTTATTTTTGTTAAAATAACCTAATTATTAATTGCATTAAAACCATTGGAGACTAAATTAATGTTTATTCAACTCTTAATTTTTTAGTTTAAAGATGATCATTAATGTTCAAATAATTTATAGTGTTGTAAAAATTACTTAACCTGATGTTTTATTTTATTTTTGGCTAGTGGTGTTTTAAATTTTAGACTTAACCAAGCTAAAATGTAATACTTACTCTTGATATGTAAATTAATTTCATTTAATTAAATTAATTAATATATACCATTAGATTTTACTTATTTGTATAAATAGCAATCAAACATATATAATTAAATAAAGTCCTGTTTAAAATAACATTATTTAAGTTGAAAAAAAAATAGTGAGTTTCAATATAAACTTGAAATTTGGTTTTAGTCTACAAAGTATGAAGATAGTTATAAGATAATTACATTATAGTTTTTCCCATTATTTTTAAGATACAGATTTAATATTTGCAAAATTAAATTCAAATTAATTAGGTATTTATATTAATAAGTTGAAATAATAATAAAATGTATAATATTGTTATTTTAATATTGATTATTATAAAATAATAATGTTTTGAGTGTAGGTTTCTAGTACTTTTGGTCTTAAATCAAATACTTATCTGTCGTAACGATAGTTACTAAAAATTTAAAAATAGATATATAAAATAATAAAAAATTAGTTATTTAATATCGTATTATACCGAGCTGTAGAGTGAGGTAAGGCTAGTGTCGAGTGCTTATTGAAGCCAGTCTCAATAACCACCTTTTTAAACATGATTAAAGTTTGTTGGACAGCTATCTACTAAACTAGTTTTTATTTTATAAATAATTTTTATAATATAACCCCGTCGAAACTGCCTACTTGACACATATTAATGTAGATTTTAGTAGATAGGTATCTACCAACATATTTTAATTTTTAAATACATACCTATAAATCTTAGTACTGTCATTAATTCATAATAACTGAAAATGTTTGTTTAAGCACATAAGACCAAGGACACACGAGTGCACTATCATAAGAATTTAGACAAGTAATAAGCATTGTACACGTATGAACGTACGATGTGGTATTGTAGTTAATGCTGTGATGGGTATAACGTAGTTTTTCATTATACTTATTATTATTTTCTTACGTCTGTTATGACAACCGAAACAGAATAGTATTTAATACTTAATTACCTCGTAAACGTTTTTCTATTTTTGGGTGGTTTCATTTAAGAGATTAATACACATTTTAAGTTGTTCAGTAGCGGGCGAATAAGCTTTTTAGTGTCACAAACTTTATTTTCATATATTTTTTAGTATTGTAGTTAGTGTTATTAATAGTTACTTAGTAAGTATTTAGGTAAGCTATATTATTGTAGAGGCAATGCATTTTATAGAAACAATCACAAATAAATTAATTTTGTGCATTTTGTTTAATGGAGAAAAATATAGATTTTAATGATTATATATAACATATTATAGACGACGTAAAATATTTTGAAATACATAAAGTATTAGTATTGCTATATATAACATTTCTTTTTTATATTTTTGGTGCTAATTTTTATAAAAATATGATGTATTCTTAATAAAAATTTGGGTACCTACAATTACCCAATTAAGAAATAAGCTTTACAAGACCAAGAACTTAAAAATTGAATAATATTATATATTTAAGTCGTATCCAGTATTTTTTTAATAATACTTTAGTAGGTATGAAAATCAATATTAGAAACTCGAATAGAAATATATACTTATTTAGTACAACTTTTTTCAAGTATTTAAGGTTATTCATTTTGAATTACAATAAAAACAAAAATCAATTGAGGAAAAATAATAATCAAACAGGTGAATATCAAATGCCGTAAAAATTCCAAACAGTTATAAATAAATTAATGTGACTTTAAGAATGTTTTTTTATACTTGATAAAATAGAATGGAAAAACAAATGACGAATCTTTTATTAATTTTCAAACTTAAGATATAAAAAGAAAAATTAATTTATGAATAATCTAACTGCAAAATAATTTGTAAATTTTCGAAATTTATATGAATTTTGTAAAACTATAACTATTAATCGTTTATAAAAAAAATGTAAACATACAGTTACGATTATATTAATATAATATGAAAATTAAATTAAATTTGTTTTACTTATTGTTTAATCGTAGGCTACCATCATGAATTCAGTCGACCGTGATATGGAGATAGAATCAAATATATAAAAGTTAAAATGTAACAAATTGTCAAGAATAAGCAGATTAGAAATAAGTTTGAAAAAGTTTATTGAGCTAAAAAAATAATCAGATGTTACATGTATAAAATTAAGAAACGAAAACAGAATATTTAAATAAATGTAAATAGACAAACAATTTAAATACTAAATAATTAATTAAAAATACATAAAAAAAAATATATAATAGTTAGGTTAATATCTTGGATTACTTTTCATAGTTTAAATTATTTAATTTTAAATTATAATATTTTGGATTTTTTTAGGATTTTCTGACTACAAAATAATTAGTAAACTTTTGAAATTTTGATGAATTTCACAAATATTGTAACTTTAATTTTGAACTTGGTAAAATAACAACAATAAAAAAAATATTTGAAAATAAAAATTATTTTTGGATGTTATTTTAGTTTTAGCCAACATTTATGGTGAAATATAATTATGTGGCAAATGTTTGTGTTACTATTAAAGCTATTAATGCGTTGGCATTTATACCACTGTGTGATTTAGATATGACTGCAGATGAATTAACAAAGGAATTTCCTGATGAGCTTATACCATTACTTGAGTGGTTTGAAGAATTTTACATTGGGAAGAAAAATCGATGTTTAGGACGAAGAAATCCACGTTATTCTTTTGAGATGTGGAATCTTAATTAACGAACATTGAATGGTACAAATTAGACGAATAATCGACGATTAAACATTCAAATGGATACTCATTTAACGATATAGACTTTCATTGCAAATCTAAAAAAAATTTAAGTCGGGCGTGACAAGTATTATGAAAATATTGTGTCAGAAAATAGCCTTTCAAGGAAGTTGAAAGAATTTTAAGACACATATAAAAAAAACAAAAAGGTTAGTAAATAATTATAATGGGGGAAATAAAATGATATTTTAAGAAGTATAGCAAATAATATTGCTTTAAAATAAAATTTTAGAATGAAAAATTTTTTTATATACCTACAGGTTAAATCGCTAAATAATAATGTTATATACGTATTTACTATAAATAATTATAATTATTTGACTTATTTATTTACTTATGATTTAAAATGATTATGGCACTTATTATATCATATAGGCAGTACAATTTTATATTAAATTATATTTTTTTTCACTACCTATTAATTTTTGTTGAATTCCTGCTCCGAAACGTCATAAATCCATTTATTACAATTGAAATTTTTAATTTTTTTTTTTATAAATGTTAATAAAAAAAATTATTATAGTTAAAATCCTTGAAAATTTAATATAAGTTTTCTAATAAGTGATTAATTTCTCAATTGAAAAATACCAAAATTTCATAGATATAATTTTTTTTATGAGAAATTAAAATTAGTATTTTCTCAAATTTCTTGAAAATCTCGAAAAATATAAATTATTCTGTAGTTAAATATGCATACAAAATCTTCTGTCTATGTTTAAGATTTTAAAACTAAAATTAAATACAAGGTTTTTAACAAGTTTTTTTAATTTGTAAAACCAGATTGCCAAATTAATATTTTATGATCATATGAAGTTCTAATTTTTACCATAACAGATATTCACCCGTATAATAGTTATTTCTTTTCAAACGAACGATTTTTTTTTTTTTTTTTTTGTTATTCAAAAATGAATAAATGTAAATACTTGAAATTTCATAACGTTTTTATATTATAAATTTCATCATATGATAGCATTTTAAAAATATTTTGACTCATTTTAAACTATTTATAAGTGCTTATGCCAAATTTTCAATTTTGTTTTTATTTATTTATTTTTTTTTAAATTATTCACTGGGTCAAAATTTGTAAAATTTTATTACAAGATTATACATATATTTTTATTATATTTGTATAAAAATATTAAATACTTATTTAAACAATAAAATATAACAATATGTTAAATTTTGTTATAATTTAAAAATATTATTCGTGGAAACTTTTATGTATTTTATATTACTATACATTTAACTATAATAATATTTTTGATTTATTTTAAAATCCAATTTAGTTATTTTTAAATTTATAGAAGACATTGTGAGGTAGGGTTTAGACGTAATTTTTAAAATAAAAATGTAATCAATCTAGTATAGTACAGTAAAATTAATTAATTTTGTAATAACATATTTAGCATTTGAGTGATATAGATTATACATTTATACCAGTCATCGATCAGAATCATTTATCTACTTTTTCTATTTTTAATTTTAATATTGATGAATACAAAATTAAATAATAATTGGAAAAATAGGTATTTTTGGTTTAACAATTTGTTTTAGAATCCTTTGTTTAACAAAAGTTTAACGTTCGCAACGCTGCTTTTGATGAGTGATTGAAGTTGAAATGTCGATGACATTGGATATTAAAATTTATAATAACGATTTACTCTCAAAGAATTTTTGTTATTTTGTTATTTAATGAATATTAGTTGTAAAAATTTGAAACATTTCAAATTTGCTTAAATTAGTACTTCATATACACAAGTAAATTTTCAAAAAAATGTTAAAATGACTAATTTAAAGTTATTAATATAAGCATTTGAATTTTTTATCTATAATTATGTATAAAATATGTCATGGTTAGTTAAAAAGCTCGATAATTTAAAACAAGATTTATCCAATGTTTTTCTTAGTTGGATATTTAAATGAATATATAAAAAAAATTTCATTAACGGTGTACTATTTATTTAGTTGTAATTTGTAACTCAAAAAAAAAAAAAAAAATAAATAAATAAATAAATAAATACTAATTGTGATTAGAAACTTTTCACCAACTGACTTTTAAGTTAATAAGAATCATATATTAATATATTATAAAATATAAAAATTAATATTATAGGTATAATTTCATAAATTATAATAACCAGCTTAATAATATTATTTTATGCTATGTTTTTGGAAAAAAGAATAATTAAAGTTATCGTAGTATTAATAGCACTGTATTAAATATAAATTTTAAAATATAGAAATATTGGCAAAGTCTTTGCTAAAAAACAATTTTTTATATGTAATAATTTATTATTAAATTTAGTTTAACAGTGACTTACTCAATGGCTATAAAGTATATTATACTATTTCTATTAAACAACACCACTCTGATATCCTTCGTTTTTATTATTATGTATCTTTTCTGTTACAAAATATATTAATATTGATTAATAAATAACGACTATAGTATATATTATATATTAATGTACATTTTACTATTACATGTAGATATATTAATACATAATAATCTAAACAAATGAACTTGGTCTATATAATGAGAAACTATACACATATTTATAAAGCTCGGTGATATGTCTGGTATGATGTTCTCTTAATAATTGTAACTACAGCATTGTAAAGTACCTATTTTTAAAGAAAACTACCGGTAATCAATTAATAGTTTCATCCTTGTATATTCAGATTAAGTATTTTATAAATAGTTTATTAATATTGGTATTAACTATTTAACTATAGTTAGGTAGAATAAACGTTGTTAATTATTCTTATATTTTTAAAAACGATTATTTTTTAGATCTCTAAATATTGAATAATCGTTCCTTAATGATCATTGGTATTCATAATACTATTATTTATTTAACTTAGGAGTAATATTACAGTTTTAAATAATTTATTACATTTCAAGCCAAGTAAATAAATATTTTCAAATACAAATGAATACAGAAAAAAAGTCTTTACTCAATGTTGTTACCTGAAGTACATCTATAGATTAGGTTAAATTGTTCTTATTTTTTAAATTTTTTTACGGTTAATATGATAAAGAATCTTTCAAAAGTGATGGCAAAATAAATTATCTGCCTTTTCTTGTATTTTTGTACATCTGTAATTAAGGTTAAATAGTATTATTTTATAAATAAATGTAAATAATTTTGTTAGAGTAATTTTTTATTTTAAATATCTAATAAATTAATTTTATTTAGACAAATATATTTTTAATCTTACCAGTCTTAGAAGATTATGTAAATATGTTTGTACACCAGAATTAATATAGTTTTCAACATAATTGACAAACCCAAATACCGACAAATTAATCTAACTTAATATTTCATTAGATTTACAATGACGAAATTATTAGGTTTTTGGAAATACCAACGTAATCAGTATGAAATGGTGCATTGTACATATTTTATATTAACTATTTTCCTATATATCTATATATAATGAAAGTGAACACTCCGAGATAAGTGAAAAATGTAACTAAAGCCTACTCGCAATTTTTAAGATACGAAGAGAATATTAATCGGTCGTATAAAAATCGGTTAGGTTACATAGTTCATCTATCCCGCACCAACAGCTCACACTTATTGTACACTCTATTCGTATAATACATTATGTAGTAATCCATTTAACTGGTTAAAATAATTGTCCATTGATTAAAAGAAATTACTTAGTTCATTTTATTTTAACGCTATATTTATAATAAATTGTAAATTATAATTCTTTACTATTTATTTTTATCATAATGGTTATTAAATTATTTTAATAGAAACTTTTATTTGTTATTTCATTATCAGGAGTAGAATACTTTTATAATAATGTATACCAACAAAACATTGGATAAATGTTTTATTGAGTTTTTTAAGTTTAAAGAAGTGGAGTAGTGGAACACGCGTTTTTAAGACATCCCTAGCCACTTGATTCCTGTCATCAAAACTTTAAACACTAATTAATAAATTAATTATTCACTTAAGTACATAAACATTTTCAGAGACCTGTTCACCTTTTGATTATGAAATCGTTGAAAAATCACCACTATGATGTAAACAAGTTTAATATTATACATTTTGCTAAAAAAGCAAGAGTAATATTTTATATTTATTTTAAAGTTACAATTAACTATGTATAGAAAAACATTTAAAAAAAAAAAATATAGCGATAGAAAAAATAAGTGTTGGCATTTCAATGGATTACTTTGTTTAAAGAGGTATATGCGTCCATTTATGATTATTGGCTGGGCAACAGACTACGCCGCAATGTTATATAACAAACGTCTGACCGATAATAATTAATAGTGTAGGTCAAATTAACAATGGTTCTAAATCTTATTTTGTTCATAGCACCATAAAATAATTTCTAAAAATCTCAGGGGGTTCTTATATTGTTGATAACTTTAATTTAACATAGATGTAATAACTTATAAGTAGTAACCAATTATTTTTTTATTGTTGAAATATTTCCTACATTTGTTTATTAAATGAAAAAAAAAAATTAAAAAAAAATTATAATATAAAATAATAATAATTATATAAATTAAAAATGAAATGTGAATAACATCCAATGAAGCAGGTATTTAGATTATAAGTTTGATTCAATACAATCTGACTTTGATGATTTTACACAAATTTGCTATTTATGGTATATTTGTTCTCTTTAACGAACTCAAGTTTCATTCTTTTATTAGTTGTTTTTGAATTCACAAGTAAAAAAAAAAAAAAATTACCGATTATGATATTTTTAATTTAAAATATTCTTGTGGCCTATAATATACCTATGAATAAAGATAAGTTTTACAAAAGTTTTCGATAACTCTTGGTTTCAATGTTTTATCTTCAGAATATTATAATTTATAAGTATAATCTTCATCTTTGTGGTTCATTTTTGATATTAAATTGAATCTAGTTTATACTCAAGAAGTTAAAAGTAAAAAATATCAGTATTTTTTAAAACA